AAAAAAAAACAGGCGTCATGGATGCAACTCAGTTTATACAAGTCGTCATAAGTACACTTCACATAGTTATTGAAAGAGAGAAGAAGAAAAGAAAAAAAATCGTCATGCGTTGCTATAAACCACAGCACGCATGTGACATATACACTGGCAGAACAGAAATGAAATAAAAATGCTCATAGTTGTTAAAGTGCACTTGGTATAGCAACTCGGGAATGTGTGGAGTCGTAATTGAACTATTGCCACGAGTTCGGAGTTTGAAAAAAGTGGTTCTGAGGAAGTTTGTCAAACGTGTTTATTAGCCATATTTTCACAAAAAAGAGCAGAAAAACAAATTAACTGAGCATACAATATTTTCTGCAAAATTTAAGCACAAATAAATTGATGCTCAATCTTGGTTCAAAATAAATATCTTTTTGAAATGTTATGACTGATTGGGGACAAAAAAAAAAACTTTAGTTTTCCTACTCCTATGAGGGCGGCACCCGAGGTTTTCCAAAAGACACGCCAGACCAATACTCTTTGACTATGTAAATACAGCCTCTCTTTCACATTCTATTCTGAGTAATGAATTTAAAATTGTCTCAAGACACCGCATTCGTCTCAATGGACGGTATTACATAGCTCTTACGAGAGAGTTGGACACTCGATTCATCAGTGACAAAAATGCTACTTTGCTGCGGAAAAATGACACTAACATCAACAATGGTCTACCACTAAACACTCCACACTACAAAAATGATGTGTAGTATTAATTTTATACGTATCTCTTCACTCATAGCTTCTAACTATACGAAAAATGAAAGTCAATCAGAAAAATGCATAATACTATAAGAAAAAATGTATAAGGAAAAATAGAATAATTTCATAAGCATCAGAAAAATGATGTCTACTATTACTTTTATACGAATGTGTTCATTCATAGCTTCTACGTGCAGAAAAAATGAAAATCAATAAGGCAAATGCATAATACTATAAGAAAAATGTATAAGGAAAAATGGAGTAATTTCAGAAGTATTAGAAAAATGATGTCTACAATTACTTGTATACGAATACGTTGACTTATAGCTTCTACGTACCGAAAAAATGAAAATCAATAAGACAAATGTATAATACTATAAGAAAAATGTATAAGGAAAAATGGAATAGTTTCATAAACATTAGAAAAATGATGTCTACAATTACTTATATACGTATATATTGACTCATAGCTTCTACGCACGCGTAAAATGAAAATCAGTGGCAAAAATGAATAATACTATAAGAAAAATGTACAAGTAAAAATGGAGTCATTTCATAAACATTAGAAGAATCATGTCTAATATTACTTGTATACGTATATGCTGATTCACAAGTTCTAAGTGGAGGAATAATGAAAATTAATAAGAAAAATGAATAATACTGTAAGAACAATGTATAGGGAGAATAGAATTATTTCATAAGCATTACAAAAATGATGTCTACTATTACTTGTATACGTATATGATGACTCATAGGTTTTAACTGCAGGAAAAATGAATAATACTATAAGAACAATGGAGTAATTTCATAAGCATTAGAAAAATCATGTCTACTATTACTTGTATACGTATATGTTCACTCGTAGATTCTAAGTGCAGGAATAATGAAAACTGTATCTCTATATATACATGTAGATATAGTTATCCAGCGGAAAAGTGAATAGAATAATGAGATACGAATGAAATGTGTACACATATGTGTATATGTATATGACGGACGTTCTATATGAACAGAATGGAGAAAAGATTCATTTTTGATCCGGATGGCATTTTTCCGCTTGAAATGAGCATTTATCTTACCGATCGATTTGTTGTCCACTGCTGACTATTCGATGAAGGCAGCATAGCTGTCGAGACGTCATACGAAGGAAAAACAAGCAGGAGTTTTTTTCCTTATCAAAAATCTATTCTTGATGATTTTAATAAAGACAAAAGACTATATTGCCGCAGCTGATCATGATACTACTAATATGGATGCAATCTTCTCATATTACAAACTATTTCTTTCTCATCTTGCCTAAAAATTCGTAAATTACATAATTTGTTCTCATCAGAAAAAGAGAAAAAAATCCAATTGAATTATGTACATCTTTTATTTGTGTTTTCGATGAATTGTTCAACAACCATCGAAAACTTAGCATAATGAAAATGACAAAAAAGTTGTTATCATTATTACCAATGATCATTGAAAAAAAAATATCATCGGCATTCGTACATGATCATGTTTTCGACTAAGGCATAAATATCCAATTGGGCAATTGAGAACACAAAGGAGAAATGTGATAAGAATCCAAGTACCATTGACCATTGGGACGAAGAGTCTTTGTATTCAAAAGAAATCTATTTCTTTTCTTTGTAAGTCAGAAATAACTACATTTACATCATAGATGAACGAAATCCATTATTCAGTAGACTTCTCACATCACTCATTTAAAAAAAAATGAATATTTTAGTCAGCACTTTTTGAGAATTTCAATAGATATGTCGTAAACAACTGAACGTTTTAACTTTTGTTTTATTTGAACTCATGTTTTCAAGACAATCAGTGTCACATCTTTTACAAAGCCAGCTGATTAGGCCCTTTGGTAAGGCTGAAACTGTCTGCTCTGACCATAGTCATAACTCATATTATCAGTGACGAAAAACGGTCGGCGAAAGATCTACAATAAATATATTATGCTACATTTCACGCTTGTTAACGTGGTCTTTATCTTTCGACATTCAAATTACTCTGCTTAAAAGTTCTCAAACGCTCGTGTCTCCTTCTGGTTAATTAATGTTAACCAGCAAGATCGTTGACTTATCGAGGACGTAATACCCAACAGTTCTTTTCAGAGCTATTTTCTTTGTTTTAGTAGGTTCATCTACGTTATTCTTTGTTTTCTTTTTTTGTTTTGTTCTGTTTTTAACTTTTTGCAATTGTCTATCTTTTTTCTTTCGATGTAGGTTTTTTTCTTCTAGTCGTTTATATTTTCTTATTAATAGTTACTTTGAAATAAAAAAACAAATTACTGAAAATGCTGAGTAAATAATATATTCATTATAACAATTGAAAAGATATTAGAAAGATAACCTCTAAAACACATGTACGGCACTATTTACTACTACAGTCGAAAGAACTTTCATTCAATATTGATGAAAGTTGTCATTTATACAACAAATGTTAATTGAATTTAAGTAATCAAAGAAAAAATATGCAGAATTTAATATGGAAAAAAGACAATACGAATAATGTTGAAGATATTAATATTGATGTCAATGAAGAAAAGTATTGATTAACGATTGAAAATGTTATTTTTGCAGACTGAAGTCATAAAAAAATGTACTAGTTGTTTGCCGATCTGAAGCATTTATTGATTCAGTAGTGATGCCAAAAACAGCAAAATTGGATCTTTTAATACTGACGCGAATGCATTCTTCTCATGAAGTTCGAAACTGTACGGATTATTTATGGAACAATTGATGATTACCAGATATAGAAATAAACCTCGATAATCGACAAATGCCAATAGCTAAATCAGAGTTGTCTATGTGTTTGTAGTTGTTTGATGATCTTTTATGTTTGTTACAAAAAAACATCTTTAGCAACACGACTAGTCTTCATGCATTCTTGTTTAACAAATAAAGACTGTTTGGCATCGACTGAATGTAATAAATAACAATTTGAATATCTTGTAATCGTAAAGCTAAAAATACTCTAACAATGTTCTGGACAAAACTCAAAACTAATTTGTCTTTTAGATAATACAATTCTTTGTTCAATATTCCTGGCTATGACGAAAATCGTCGAAAACCGAAAGCAAGAAGTTTCGAATAGGTTTCGTCAAATTTTGATAGATACATTGATGCCACAATATTCAGGAATTGATCATTTGTCACATTTGGAAGCAATCAATCACAATACTCCATTTTTCAACTGATTCTTCGAAAAAAAGTGTGATAGTTATATCAGATGGTACCTATTTCTACACAGGAAAAGGCAACTCACACGAATTTCAATGATCTACACACTCAGAACAAAAAAACATCAAACTAGTCAAGTTCATATGCTTATGTCTGCTAGGTAACTATTGTTTAGACAGTTTAAGACCTTTTAATGGAATTGATAATAATGCTATAATTATCAGTCATACAGCAAAAATGAAAAATAAATTCGCAAAATGGTGCGACTATGACGATGTGATTATAGTTGATCGATGTTTTAGGAATGTTGTCGAAGTATTCTCTGACTTTGATTATGAATCACAAATGCACGCCTAGTTACCCAAACAGAGGAAAAAAACAAAACGACGAAGGAAGAAAGTGAAGCTCGATTAGTAACGAAAGTTCAATGAACTGTGAGAGTCTTACCATGTTTGATAAAAAAATGGTGTTTTTCTTTCAAAAAGAACCGAAAATCAATTACTACTGAAACTTCAAGATTGTTTAAGAATAATTTCTGCTTCATTGAACTGTTATCAAGGATCGATAAAAAAAATCATAATACACTTCACACGAAGAAATTGGTAAGACTGATGAAATATCATTTAACTACAATATATTCTTCAGCAATGGAAAGATGTAGGTGTGGGTGTGGATGTGATTGTTTGAAGGTAGTACTTCATAACCACACTCACACTCTAAAACTGAGATTCAAACGTATTTGCATCGAGTCAATTGGACTTTACCGACTTCCGATCAGTTCACTCGTCATCCTTGTGGAATACAATTCTTAATTTGTTCAACTTAATTCGTTACACTGAACGTGTCAGTCTAGAGACAAAAAATTACTATGTTCTGATTTAACTGTTTCAACTGGATTGTATGTATCGACAAGTATTGTTAATAGTAATATTTAATCTGAAATAACATAGGACATGAAAGATTACTCGTGTGTACGTAATCTTTATATATGCATACATATGTATATATATTTACATTTATAGGTAGAAGCCTTTGGCAATCCAATAAATGGCTGTGTCTGTTCGTACGCGTCTCTTACGTCCTCAGAAACAAGAACATGAAACTCGAGTAATCGTTAATTGGTGTAATGATCATAACGATCAACCGATTTGCTGTCGTACAGCTCAAGTCTGTAAAGGTCCTAAACCGATAATAACGCCGATTTCAACAAATAATTCTCAGCCACAAGCCCAGCGTGCATTTGAATACGATTATGAAGCACCGTTAACTGCATATTCACTCAAACCTAATTCAAAATGGTTAGTTGTTCGTCGAAATCTACATCGCATTCGGTTTATGAGTTACAATGATCATGATGAACAGAAGAAACTACCAGATTTTTATTTGGGATTACAAATGATACGTGAATTGAAACGAGCTCAAAATGAAATACAACGTATTGATCAAGAAACAAATTTTCATGTTGTTAAACAATTCGTTTTGGCTATCGATGATAAACATACTAAGACATACGATACAAGACATATCAAACCAACCGATGCTCTAATTTATGATCGTATAGGCGATGAACCGATGGCTGTGCAAAATCTTCTCTATTATTTTAGTCAACAAAATGTGTTGCCTGGTACAGTCTTTTGGAATTTTTTGAACGAAGTCAATCATGTCCTCAATATGAATCGAAAAAGAACAGTCTTGGTAGAGCGATTAAGAAAATTCGCTCTAACATTAGCTTTCATCTCCTATGGACTAATCGGTATTATGTTCTTTTTGTTGATCATTAGTGTGATTACAACAGTTGTGAAAATGAACGATCAAGAAGTTCAATGGATGAGCAATAGTGATGATCAATATTCAATGGATATCTCAATGCTCATTTAGTTTTGTAAAGCGACTACTTGAAAGAACACTGTTGATAATGCTTTCTTATCTCATTAAAACTTTTTTATATAATTAAATACAACTCAATAGAGACAAAAGAAAAGATTGTTTTTCTCTTCATTTAGTAGATCGTACTATGCAGACGCGTTTTACAGATTTAAAACAAAAGAAAGCGCTACAGAAAGCATCAACACCTATTTCTAAAGAACACTTATTACAATATATCTTCAAGTTCGAAACCATACATCTGTAATACAATCTCGGTGAAACCTGTTATGCTTTGTATTGTCAATTAGAACCACATTAGAATAAAATTTTATTTATTGCACTCTTGATGATTCTAAAACGGGAAGAAAATTTCATAGAAGCCAAGTTTGGTCACAACTGAGGAAGAATACAGATCTGATAGTAAAATTGCCAGGTGTATGAGAGATCGATGTGTCTGAGCAGTACAACTCTTGTTCGGTTGTCAGATATACAATAATTTTCGATTTTTCCATCGGAGGATCGGACTTGAAAATGTCTAATTTTTTAAATTAGTTTTGTTAAAAAGATTTGTCGTCTTCAAGGAAGATCAGTAAATGAAGAAACTGATTCTTAATGGCATTCACATCTAAAACAATGACTAATAACATGGATACTAGAAAGAAAAAATCTAGTTCATCAAGCTTTTGTGTTTCTATCTTGTTTGACGAAGAAAATCGTTTATTGATTGATATGTGAAATAGATTTCTTGGTGTTCAGACTAATTCGGCTGAACTATTTACTAACATTGATTGTCCTTGAAAAAATTCTTCAATCGGTTGTATAAAATAAACCTCTTTAACAGAATGATCTCCTCTCGTGGCCTACTAGCGAATTTGATTATCCATTTGACTTATTCTCTGCGACAATATTATTGAAAGATATGTTGAGTTCAAACCTAATGCAGTCTAAACTGGTTCAGTCGAATATAAATGAAATAGAAGATGTTGAAAACTGATTTGCAACAGTCCCATAATGTTGTTCGTTCCTCATTTGTACTGCGAATTAGAACGCAATATTCTCGAGAACACCTGGGAAAACTAAACAGATGTTTTTATTTTGATCGACTCCTACTCGAAAATTCTTCTTCATGTACAATATTTTTCTGTCAGATGAGTTGACCGATCTTCGAATACAAATTAGTCAAAATTTGAGGGTGAGGAAACGTTAAGATCTGGGTAAAGAGAAGATCCACGCCCATTCATATCACTGTCAATATGATTTATTTGAGTATTAAGATACTTGATATTTTTACGAATTAATATTGTCATTCGAATATCAGGATGTCGTCTATTGATAGTATTAAATATAGCATGAAATCATCTTTCCGACACGTATCACGCTATGAGCAGATGATTAAAATATCTATTATGTAATAGATATTGATATCTGTAGAAATGAAAAAGAAACTTTTCATGAGTAGTAAACTTATCTATAAAATATTAATTAGATTTTTATCGACTAATATGAAATTTCGTTATCAACAATATACGTTGATAGTTGCAAATATAATAATCCTTCTTGAAGTAGTACCAGTTTCTTGATTCTGCCGATAGATTTTATGTTCGCATGAAAAATATCGGTTTTCGAGAATGATTAGAACATCAATGATCATTTGAATAGTTATTCATATGATCATTTGTTTTTTCTATTAGTCTTCTGCATAATGATCTTTCACAAATCGAAGTAATGAATGGACAAATATAATAAATAGATTTAATCAAAGTAAAGATATGCGTGTTTTATTTTCATATTATATTGAATCAGCTGGTATTAGTGACACTACTTGACTAGATGTATTTATCGAAGAATATTATGAAGCATCATTCTACATATTTCGTTGAATAAGATTATATTAACATTTGAACATTTATAATTTTGTCTTTACATAGTTATACGTGGACTATTTCGTTTTCTGTTATAGTCAACTAAAGAGAACCATCATGAGTAACTACGGCATCCGATTATATAAAATGTTGATCTATGTGTAAATTTCGATTATAAACTTGCAATATTTTTCGTATTATTTTGTTTTCCTTAATTTGTATAATTTGAAATATATTTACTAAGTCCAAGTGTAAAAAAATATACTATCAAATCCTTGATCATCTTTCGAAGCAGATATCAATATGCACAATCCTTTCGTTAATAGAAAATTTTATGAAACTTTTGTAAATTATTTTTTTATATTTTATTTATATTAACTCTCATATTGCTTTCTACTTTACTTATTGACATAATCTCTTCATAATCTTTAATAATTAGAACATTTACTGATGACAATTTTTTAGTAAATTATTCGTATTAATCATCATTACTCAGATTAAAAACTAAATTATAGGCTTTTTTCTTATCAATCTATACCATTACTTTATATGCATGTATTTATATCGTTTATCGTATTACATTTTCCAATACGATACTTTCTAGAATTGATAAAACGAGATCTTCAATAGCATCATTTCAAGTTATTTTTGTTTAGTCTATCTAAAACAATATACTATTCTTTTTTGTTCAATCGTCATAAAATATGAAATAATAATAAAAAAACATAACAGAACAACAACTAGATATTATCTCTACAAAAAATGTTGATAAAGTAAAGTTGATAAAATAATTGTCATAAAAAGAAATTTTGATGAAAAAATTTGATTAGATCCATTACAATAATCTGTTTGACAGCAGACACTACTTGAAAACGTTCCAATTGTATGTGACACTGCACAACGTTTATTTGCACATCCTCGATATACATTTCCTAAAATCAACAAAACAAAAATTTTCTATCGATATTTATCTATTTTATTATTTACCAAGTGAAATTGATTTCCAACAATAATGTTCACAATCAATTATTTCCACATTATCTGATGTATCGTCATAGCCTTTGAATGATAAGCCACTAGTTATTGTTCTACATTCGTTTGTTGCATCACATTTATAACAACGAATATTATTTGTAAATAATGGAAATAGAATAATGAAAAGTATCGATACTAAAAAGAAGTTCATAGTCTAAAATGAAAACAAAAAGAAAAACAGAACATTTTTCGATCTATTGTCTGTTTTATGTCAGTTTACTTAAAACAATGTTACAATCATATACGGTTGAATAAATAAAATATACCAATATGACATTTATATTTGAGTTCAATAGCTATTGTTTAATGATTGACAATAGATATACTCACTCGAGGAAAACAGAATGACATTCATTAAATCTGGTAATAATGAATAATGATCATATTCTTATTCATTCGCAGACAGAATTCAACATTAGCTAATCTATTGATGATTTTTACCGATTGTGTTCAGATTGAAATATTATTTAAGAGAGAATCGAGAGATTTGTTTTTTCCCTCGGAATTTTATCGTAAGTTCGAACACGAGTACACTTTTAGTAGAATACAATCGATTAGGCACTAGAAAATCGAAGGACGAAAACATATGAGATCTATTCGTTATGTTTTCTCAATAAAACTGATTGCTGAAAGGTTTATTATAATTTGTCAAAAACAACCAAAAAAGAAGATAAGAAAACAAACGAGATTTCCTTATCCATTTTCATATATTCTTTCTGTCTAACCTATTCTTATCTAATTCAATCTTTCTTTCATCTTCATCGATCTAAATAAAGTCTAGTGTATAATGTTAAGTCAGGCATATGATATAATAAGAAGAAAAAAAAAAGGAAAAAAGAAGGAAATTATTTGAGTAATGGGATCCCTAAAAGCATTTACGATAATAGCTTGTAGCTGTTTCTTTCTTTTTCTCGATCTATTTCCGCTCTTTATCATTTCCTGATAAATAGAAGCTATAGACAATAAGTAAACATGGTTAGAATTCCAAAAATGAGAAAACAAATCGATCTCAAGGGATAATCACAATATTCTCTATATACACTGATTAATCTTCATTTTTCATGGGCAATACAACAAATAGCAATAGTGCACCACCATCACCTACTGGAAGGGTAATAGATAGACAAAATTCTGCAACAAAACAAATTCATATTAGTACAAATCATGCTGATGGATTTTATTTTACTGGTGAGCGTTTAACTGGTACAGTTAAAATTCCAACATCATTTTTACATTATCATCTATACAATAAAAGTCCTCGAACATCAATAGATTTATTTAATACACGATCATTACGTAATCCTATTATTATTGAACTTGTTGGAGATGCAACTTACTCAGCTGAAGTTGATGCTGCTGCTGATAGTGATGGTCATGCAACACACAAAGTTAATCTATGTCGACAACGTTCTATTGTTACAATAAATCAAAATAAAATTGAAACAGAGTCAACAGTTAGTCTATTTTCATCATTAGATACTGAATTAATACCTACAAATTCATCATCTGTTCTTAATGGTACATTCCAATTATATATTCCCGATGGTCTTCCACCATCATTATCAAATAATCGTGCACCATCAGTAGTTTATACATTAGAATTAAGATTATCATCAAGTCGTTATCGTTATCAAATACCAATAACACTCAACACGCGAGGTTCTATACTTCATACAATAACTGATATTGAATTAAGTGATAGTGCTATTAATAGAAATGATATTTGTTTACGAGCTTATTTATCACGAAACATTTATCGACCTGGTGAACAAATTCCAGTTCGAATAAACTATTCGAATCCTCAACAACGTTTTGTTCGTTCAATAACAATTCGACTTGTACAATTTTATCGTATACATAACGATCAAAATCGTTCAATTTTAGATGGAAAAGAATGGACATTTGATATTCTAACAATGTTACCACCACGACAATGGACTGGTGAAGCACATTTACAATTACCTAGTCAACCATTACAAGCATCATATTCAACAAATTCTGTTGGTACAACACAAAGAATTGAATGTGAATTAGATTATCGAATATTAATTAATCTTAATGAAAAGAAAGGAGATGATATTAATCTAACACTAGCACCAATTCAAGTAACTTATCAAAAATAAAATTTTACATTTATTTTCTATTATTGTTGTTGTTGTTGTTGTTGTTGTTGTTGTTTGCTTTCAAATGTCTTACATAAGTAGTTGTTTCTTGATTGTATTTTCCTTTTCTATCTAGTTTGTTGATGTTAGAAAGATATTCTACGAAATTTTATCTATTAAAAATGAATGATCGCCATATAAACAGCTTATTTTATGTTGTATCACATCGGT